ATATAGATATAGATATAGATATAGTACAGTAGTGGTAGCGGTGGCACCAGTAGTAGCAGCAGAAGCGGCAAGGCACTCTGTGTCGGAGCCAAACCTTGTCAGGTTGAAATCATGCCACATTCTCAGAGTTTTTCCCTTGAAGCCGGAAAAGAGATGGCAGTGTTCTTTGGAAACCCTGCACAGCCTGCGACCCTGGCATCGGGTGCCGGCCTATGCCGCGCTAGGGGCCAGCTTGCTGCCACGGTGGGCGGCAGATTGAAGGACTCCTGCACTCTGATGCCTGGTTTTCCGGTTTACCTGCCCGGTCTGCAGCATCCTGTTTTGGCAACCGAACAACATCAAGGATGCTACCCGTGATGCGAGAACAAGCAGGCTGGCAGCTAGCAGATGATGGTCAGCAACAGCAAGCAGCAAGAGACCGGACCTGCAATGCTAAAGTTTCAGCTCGATGAGCGTTCCAGAGAGGAATGAAAGAACTGGAGAGAGAGATCAGATCCTTTGATCCCAAGCCTGGAATCTTCAACCAGCGACGAAAGAGGACAACCTCGCAAACACCGCCACCGCACAACAACCCATTGAGTATGTCTACAAGCACCAAACAGCCCGTTGAATTTTCCACTCGGCGAAAATGCTTCTGGCGCTCAATGGAAGATCTTCCGGAGGTCAAAACCGAAACTACAAGACTTGGATGCCAAAACAACCCACCCCCCCCCCCCTTCTAAAGCCCTAAACTCTAACTTAACGCCCCCAAGGAAGCCCTGCAGCACGGCTCCTGGCTTTCCCGGTTCTCAGTGGCCGCGAGCTATGACGTTGGGGGCTTAGGCGTTAGGTTTTACGGAGAAGATCTAGCTGCATCTAGCTCCGTTCCGGGGAAGTAGAACCCTCCTGCTGGATGTAGGGCTTAGGGTTTAGGGCCGTTAGGGTCGCGCCAATAAACTTCAACCCGCCCTAAACCCGAAGAACACCATGCCGACTAGGATTGACAGTGTTCCCCATTCGTTCTGACCGTGTCTGCTTCAAGGACCCCAAACAGTGCCCCAATTCAGAGGAGGACCCACATGTCAGAGTGTCGACACTGGCGGCCTCGGCTTATAAAGCAGCAAGTCGAACCGGGCGTAGACAGGCTGCAAATGCCCCGAGACTCCAGAGGCCCCTAAACCCAAAACCTGACAACCGGAAAAGCCGGTTCTCTGGAGCTTGGCCCACAGACAGCACGCCCAAGGGAGCCGAGCTCTGCACCCGAAGCCCCAAAACACGACACCTCCAGGACTCCTCTTAACAACCTGAGATCTAGGGTTGGATAGCTTTATGGTTCAGGGTTTAGGGTTGCCTGGAAGCTCCAAATCGCTACCTTGTTGCCTCAAGGACTGCTGCGGTAGTGCCCAACGATTTTAAAACGGTGTGGTCCCTCGTCCCTTAAGCCCCAAACGCACTCTATAAGATTATACTAAACCCTAAACCCTAAACCCCGAAGAAACCCTGCAAAACCTCAGAGGCCGTGGTCGGTCCGAGGCAGCGGCTGCGCGCGACTTGGTGGCGTTCCGGGAGAAGGGGTCCTTTCATGAAGTTGGTCACTGCCGCAGAGAATGTGGCAGGGTTCGGATGGTGCAAGGTTTATCCATGGGGGTTGAAGTTTAGGGGCTAGGCAGGGCTATAGGGCTCAGAATTCATACGGGCTCAGGATTTATCAGGGTTCCGGTTTGGTGGCATGACCAACCGAAGAGAAGATGCCAGAAATCCCTAGTCCAGCGTGTTCACTGTAAGGCAGACTCTTGGCCTGGGACGGACAAGAAAAGGTTTTAGGGTTTAGGGTTTAGGGTTTAGGGTTTGGGGTTTAGGGTTTAGGGTTTAGGAAGCATCACCAGTGCATAGCAATGCGTTTAGGCTTTAGAGTTTAGGGCTCCTTTCAGTGTGAAGTCCCCGCCGACGGCCGGACGCCCCCACACAAAGAGCATGAGAACAACACGATGTAGTGAATATGAGGGACCCCTGGATGATGACGGTCTTGGTGATGTGTAGTTGACGATGCTGATGAGGACGATGATGAAAATTGCGGTGATGATGGCGATGGTGATGATGATGGCGATTTTTGTGTTCCGGCTTGTTATCGTCATGTACTGATCGAATCATAATTTGTAGAATGACTACTGCCATTAATTGACGTTTCGTCTTTGCAGAGACATTCTGCGACAGCCGGACGCCGAAGATGCAACGAAAATGCAAAGAACGCGTAACACCGCAACGATATGTTCTCTGGGGAAAAAAGAATACGCCAAAGCACACGAACGACGTGCAAAAAAGACCCAAGCTTTTTTTTTTGCTTGTACCCTTGCCAGGCGTGGACGCAAAGACCTCGGACAAAAACGCGCAGAAATAGTTGAAGAGGGAACCAGGGATTGTGGGTTCCAGTCGGATGCCGTGGGCGCAGCGAATTCGGGATCTTGCTTTGAAAAGCATGAAACACAACAAAGCACACATACACGTATCAATCTTGAATCGTAATTTCAACGCTCTCCACTGGCTGACCTGTAGCAAGGCAAGCACAAACACATGAGCCAAAAACCAGCATTGAGGAAGCGCAAACACTGTAAAGACGCAACACAAATCTAAAACTCCGTCACATCGACATTGGTCTAGACGCATCTAAATGATTCAGAGCTGTCATGTCAGATCCTGGCTCTGTGGTGGCAAATGGCCCTTACTGTTAGGAGTGTCCGAACCGTGCTCTGTCGTGGAACATAGCCGTTGCTGTTACGAGTGCTACATGCTCGAGATTGCGATGATGTTGGTTGTAACCACCAGACACCGCCAGAACTAGCGTCATTGTTACGACTAGTTTCAGCAAAGAGAACGATAAAAATTATCACTTGCAAACCGATCGTGCTCGGAACGCTCATCACAACACATGTAATAAGGATAAAAAAGTCAGTAGTGAACGGCGGAAGTGCTGCTGGCCTTCTCCTGCTTCTCCGGAACAATCTCCAACTGGAGAGAGCAGATTATCTCTTGAACGGCATGTCTCGGGGTTCAGGGCTTTCTAATTCAAGGAGTACCACGAATGGGTGTTTCGAAGCGGGGGGGGGGGTGTTGGGAAACCAGGCCCATGATGGTTCATGGTTAGGTGGTCGAGCAGGGAGTGCTGATCGGATCCGGGCGCCTCCTCATCAACCTGCGTACCGCCGGCGCCCCCCAGTGGCATCCGATAGATGTCCTTCGACATCGCGGGAGTCCAGAAGTTGAGAAAGTCTGCCATCAGTTGTCCTCTCTCCTCCTGTGTAAAGCACAGCCTCTTCTGTCTTTACCACAATCGCTTTCGTTGATACAGTACCGCTCGTGTCAGTGGCAAGAACATGGACATGTTGGGAGCACTGTCTTCAAAGTTACATAAAAGGGTCACTGGGACAAAACTCTCGCGAGTCCAGCCAAATGCCGCTAGGACACCCCGAGAGAACAAGCGGATCTTTGTGCATGACATCAGGTGTCATAGCAGAACCACTCGAAGTCTCAGCCATAGAAATGCTTACGCAGAAGCCTTGGCCCCTGTTCACAGTCAGCACCCCAGGCACTGGCTCGGAGCGGGTCCTTCCCGTATGCAAGCTGCGCTGCGATATGTCTTTGCCTGGAAGCGGTGCTACAACATCCAACCCCGAGCATCGTGGAGCTTATCGCTTTAGAGGATCTGGGGCTCGAGACAGGGACCGCAGGTCCAGATTTCGCACGGACACTTTTTCTCAAGTCTCAGAACGGTCAAGTTGAGGCTTCAAAACACCACGCCAACTTCCATCCTCCTGAATCAAAGATCCTCGATACTACACCACCACAGCAAGGAGGACAGAAGTGGGAAGTGCAACAGCCCTTTTCATGCAGCAGGGCAGATGGATTCCTCAGGCCACGTCCCTAAACCCTAAGCCCTAATCTCAAATCCCCAGTCCCGAATAAAACCCTACTCCGTAAACCCTAAACCCGAATCCCTAAACCCTAATCCCTTACCCCTTTGCCATAATGCTTGGAAACCTAAACCCTAAAGCTGAAATGCTAAAGCCTCGGGCCATAAACCCTAAATTGGGCTCACTAGCCGCTGTCGACCCAATGATCGGCAGCTCACCACAGCTCGAGTCTTGTTTTGTGGAGGTCATCATGTACAGGGTCACTACGATGTCCAACAATCATACAACATTAACACTACAACCCGCCAAGGAAGCATATAAATCGAGCTGAAGGCCTGGTGGAGCCCAGTCACACATGCATTCCTGGCTACGGGGCCTTTGCATTTTTGCCAAGGCCTAGGTGAAACGACAATAACATGATAAGCTGCAGCCACCCAACATCTGAACCCAAAAACATGAAAACTCATACTCTAGACCCACTAATTCGTCCACTCTTTGAAGCGCCACATGCCTGTGCATTCTATAGAGTACACCTCGAAGATCGTAGCTTCGAGTTCGGAGGCACTCAGGCCGACTATCGCCAGAGATTTTAGCCGAAGAGTTTCGCCAAGGTGGACCGCTGAAACTCGGCGTTATGCAACTCCCGAAACTGATCCACGACACCTTGCAGCGTGTGAGCCACAGCGCCGCCTGCATCTCGCATCTCACTCAAGAACTCAACCAGAACTCGCTCCTCCACACGCACCTGTGAGTTGGCGCTCTCACTGTAGTTCAGGCATAAGGTTTGCAAGAGGGTCTTCTTCGAGAGATCCAAGGCTCTCAAAGCTAGCGACTGCGGGCGGCACAGCCAGAATCTGCGAATGACATTCACGGCTCCTGTGTGGAGCATAGGATCCAAAGCGGCTACGAAGATATGGTTCTTCACCTTCTCGAAGACTGCGAGCCAGTCACTGTCAATGTCCACATCGGGTGCTGGCATACATGCGGTAAGCACCTCCAGATGCTCTGGCTCGAAGTGAGGCAAATTCTCGCCGGCACACTGTTCGGCCAAGGTCCTCGCCACCTCGGCCGCGGGCCACTGGTCGGAGATGCAGCACTCCTCGTAGACTCTGCATGACGTACCCATGACATAGCGCTTCCTCCGCGATGGGGCCGTCCCCTGCATTGCCTGCGAGTGGGATTCTAGCAATCGGCGACGGAAGTTTGCAGGATGCTTCAGCAACACAGCAACGTACGCCGGCAGCAACACAGGGTAGGGCCTCAACACATTGGCCAGGGCGCAGAGACCAATCTGTAGGACCATCTTCGTAGAGCCTTTGCTCGTCAGGAGCTGCGCGGCGACGTTGAGCAGCTGCTCCGCCGCCTCGGCATGGACCTCCTCGCCAGCCTCGGCTTGGTCCATACCTGCCGTGTGCTCGAGCAGGCGGCCTACCAGCAGCAGCAACTGCCCCTGAACCTCCCACCATTCATCCCGGACAAGGCCAGCGAAGCTGTGCACCTCCTGTAGCACATTCTGGGCGAAATTCGGTGACTGGAGTGACACAGATCTCAGCATCGTGAGGCCGGCGACCCGCACACTCGGCTCCTTTCTCTGCAGCGCCACAAGGGCATAGTACTGGTAGTGACGGAGTAGGTGTTCGTCATCTAACCCCAGCTCCAGCTCCATGGGCAAGAAGTAGGAAAGGCAGCAAATGTAGGCTGGCATGCTGTCCATGCCCTCCTTGAGGCCACGAAGGACGTTGAGCCGTGCCAACACCTGAGGCTGGGTGTATGCATAGACGACTTCGCAGAGAGGCTCTCGCTTGCCGGCGGTGTCCACCAGTAAGGGTGCGAGACTTGGAAGAATGCCATCCACCAGGAGCTGCTGCGTCAGTGTAGTGTCCGCCTCACTCATCAACTGACCCAAGCGCTTCAGGAAGGTGATGACGCTCTCAAAGACTGGATTTCGCTCGCTGAACTCCACGAGAGTAGGACTGAGCAGACGCCAGACGTGCCAGAACTCGGCCGGGGACTTCAGCACCGTCTCGATCAACTGATGCACCTGGTCCGACAATGCCTGAAAGACTCGCACGACGATCGGTTGTGGCACATGTGTGCGGCAAAGCTCCATAAAGGAGACTAGGACATCTTTGCGCGGATCCAGCGACTTCATCACCTGATCGTCTTCCTGGAGGATTGTTGCCACTGTCGGCCGCATGATGTCCACCACGGGCTTCACGGCGCCCAAGCCCAGGCGAGGGGTTGACGAGCCGTTCTCAGCAACCCCAACGGCCTTCCGTTGGCTCGTCGATGCGGAGCTCTTCTGGGCTTGTGCCTGCTGGGCCCTCAGCTGCGCCACATTCCTGGTCAGCGAGCGTGCAGACACCTCGGGAATGTCCAAAGGAACGGCCTCGCCGCGCTCCGAGACGGCTCTGGGAACCGAGCGCTCCACGGGCCTCTTGTGCCTGGCGGCCTGGAAGATGTGGTAGGCATCTGGGCGAGAGTCTCCACCATCCAGCCGGTTCTCATCGAAGGAGGGCTCAATGGATGAAGGAGCCACCGAAGGTTCCAAGAGCGTCTCCACCACCACCTTCTTGCCGCCGGGCGAGGTGCTGGCATCCATGGCGTCTGGGATGTCCTCACTTAGGAAGATGGGCACCGTCCGGTTTGTCAGCAAGGTGTAAACCTTGATAAGCAAAGCGACGGCAGCGCCGGGCTGGTTGTCCATCACGGGATCAAAGTCAATGCGTGAGATGGGGTAGTTGTGCTTGCGGAAGAACCTGAAGAGCTGCTCCCAATTGTCATTCTTCGTGGCCGCCTTGAGACCATTATCGAAGCAATGCATGGAGATGTCCTGCGGGTGATACCGAGAGAAGATCTCGGCGACGAGAAAGCCGTTCGCGAAGTCCCTTTTCGAGTTTCGGACGCTGTAAGATAGATCCAGGCTCTGGATCCACTTGAGAACTTCTCTGGGCAGCGAGGTCAGCGACTTGGCAGGCTCGGCCGGCAAAGTGGATCCTGAAGTCATTCTGCCAGGAAAGGCGCCCCCAAAGGGCTGGGAAGCTTTCGGCGGCCCGGCGGAGGACTCCAGGCCGCCGCAGAGGGGATGCTAAGGTCTTAGTTACGATCTGGACTCCGCTTCTTCAGCTGCACACTTCAAAAGATTTTGAGGCTTAAGTGTGATCACGGCCTGCTTGTACTTCGACCTTGAGCCACAAACATGTCCAGTTGATTTTGCGTCCAAGGTTCTTGTTTCAGTCTCTGTGTTGGAGGCTAGGCTTGCGGTGGTTGTTCTTGTTGGCATTATGACCATGATTGTTCACGCTGGGGTGCTTAATACGACTATGATCATGATCCTTCTTGTGCCCATGGCAAATAGGGAAACACCACTTCTACGATTACTATGACGACTAAGACGATGAACAAGGTCGTAATCCTCATCAGCACCAACAAGATGCTCATCAGTTGAAGCCGTTTCGAAGGCCTCCGCCGGCACTTTCGCTCTGCGGCGGGCATCAGGCAATCGAAAAGATGTGCCTGGCAGGTTTGTCAGGCTTTCGGGTGTGCCCTGAATCGCCTACCTAAGCCTTCCTGAGTTGTTTACCCTGTGTCTTTCCTTCTGAAGCCCAATACTCTGGATTCAAGAGCCGCAGCCACGGCAGGAGAATCACGGCTGAATTGAGAGGCAATTCCAGCACTGATGCTGAGCATAGCGCACATGACACAAATAACCATAATCTAATATATAACCTAATATATTACATTATGAACAAAAAACGCTATACAGAACGGGCCACTCTGGGAATGCAGTTGTTTACGCGTTTGTGATCTTCCAATCAAGGGAAAACCAACAAGGTCGTCGAACACATCTGTAGAAACAAAACCCATAAAAACATAACGAAATATCAAACGACACCTAAAAAGCATCAAACACTAAAAAAAGAAACATAAAAACAAAAACAAGCCTACAACACCGAAAGAACAAAACAAACCTAAAACACCTAAAGAACCAAAAACCCCGAAAAACCTAAAATACATTTAATGAAAAAACTAAAGACCGTTAAAAAAACCTGAAGAACCTAAAAAATCCTGATAAACCTACAAGAACCTAAGGAAGCGAAAAATCCTAGAAAACTTACAGAACCTAAAAACAAGCTAAAAAACACCTGTTTTCCGGAACTCTCTGTATGGGCTGTCAATTCTACAGAAGTCCATGACAATAGGTTTTGAGGGTTCTTGAGGTTGTCTAGGTGCTTTAAAATCTTTAGGTTGTTTAGGTTCTTTACGCTCTCGCAACTCGGACTCCGCCAAACGAGGTCTCTTGTGTTCAACTGGATATATCGACTAACAAGGCCAGCGAGGTTCTTTAGGTTGTTTAAGTTTCTTGGGTTCCTCAGATTTTCCTCTGCTTTGGACAGCACCGCCACCGTAAATACCGTACAATCACTCCCATAACAGCCCTTGCCATTGAATTTCGCGCTTACCTGTCCCACCTCAGGAAAACTGCTGGGACAATCGCTGTCTCCAATAGTGCTAGTATGTAATATAATGTTATATATAATTTGTGCCAGTAGCATTAGTGTTAGCATGTGTTTTGTCACGTGACTCATCATGACTGACAAGCCCTCCTTGCAGGGCAGCACCTTGAATTCATCGGCCGTGACGCCGTGCTTGCTCTCGCGGGCTGCCTGAAGTTATGCCATAGTTGATTGTGGGATTAAAGTTTTGGGCTTCAAGGTGTTACAGGCAGGCTTTACGGCATTTATGGATCACGGTTTCAATACTCGGCTAGACATTGGCCATCCGCTGTTATCGGTGTTGAAGGCTTCGGCATCCTTGTTCTGGTGCTTCTGACTCTAAAGATTCTGATGTCTTGGTTTTTTGTCAGCTCTTTTTCACCTGCCTGGTTAAGTTAGGTCGGACCCCAAGACTTAGGACCTAGCATTTAGGGTGTGTTTTTTGGTTTCGGGGGCCTTTGTCAAGGAGCCTGCGAAACCCACGGAACGACCTAGTTCGAGTCGTGGCGCGAACAGATGCGATGGCTCTGGGATTGCCGATATGCTGCGAGGTGGCTGATGCATCGGATGCAACCGACGTAGAGTGCAGCAAGGCTGCTGTGGCCAGGATGTTCGCGAAGAGCTGGATGATCCGATCACTATGGTCCTGAAAGAGGCTTGCGTCTCGGGGCCGGGGGTCTGTTTCCGGTCTGGGTTTCGAGTAGATGCGCCACCTCTCAGCCCGCAACTTCGAACCCCGAATTCTGAAGACCTCACAGCTCAGCGTATTCGTTTTTCACAAGAGCCCACAACTAGAACTGCCCTGATCCCCCAAGCCGGAGGTGAGACCAGGGCGTCCAACATTGCCGACTCTGCACACGTCTTCGTTGTAGTTTCCGGATCTTAAGCCGAATCAAACATGCAAAGGCGAAACGCGAAGCTAGCAAGCCCCAGTCCACCAAAACCTGGTTGAGAACATACCTGTGGCCATCTGGGGGTTTCCGAAAATAGGGGACCCTAATATAGTACCCTAAATAGTAGGATCCTTATTATAAGGACCCCCAAAATAAGGTACCCCTAATTTTCGGAAACTCCCATCTAAGACTCTCCAAACCCCCGAACCCAAAAATCAGCTAGCCTCAAAAGCTGCAGCCTAGATAGCCTGGCTGCTGAGTTCCCGGTTTTAAACAAGCCTAATGACAAGGAAGTATAGATCTTTGCAAACCGCTTACCCTGAATGTTGCACTTCTTTCGCCGAGGGTCGTCGACCGGTATGCCGAGGACGAGCCTCGGCAGTCAGACTACAAAAAACCGCTGAGAATTCCGCTACAAGAGAAGAGCCCAACACAAGAACCTTATGAAACTTGTGACAACCCCCTCTGGGAAGAGAACCAGGCCCACCTCTACCGTCGCCTCACTTGGGCCGGCACTCAGGGTGTTTCGGGTTCAGGATTTCTGTGCCCCGGACGCTCTGAGAATCTGGCTGCACCCCAAAACCAGGCCCTGAACCTCCCCCGAAGAACTCGCAGTGCTGCCCAGCGGCGCACCCGTCAGCGGCGAGCCCTTGACGGAGTGCTGTGCCTCGGCTCCAAGCTGCAGCGAGGTTCCTTCCTGGGGCCTCCTTGGGCTTAGGGTTTAGGGTTAAGGGTTTAGGGTTTAGGTTTTATGGTTTAGTTTAGGGTTTGGTTTAGAAGGGCACGCTCAAAGTTTACAGGTAGTCTTCTGGGAGTGGTCGCGGGCTGTGGATGTCGACTTGTCGACCCTCACATCCAGGCGAACCCCTGCAAGGCAAGTGCGTCCGGGGCGATCCGGAGCAGCAATTTTACCACCATCACTGCTTCGAGTGGGGCGTGCAGCTTCTTCCGAGCTGGCAATGCTCTACGAATCTCAACGGCACAGGTTCACTCTCGAGGTAGTCAAGCTGAAAGGCTCTAAGCGGACTCTAAGCGGGCAAAGCTTCATACATCAACAGGCTGCAAAGCTCCCACGAGAACCACGCGGCAGATGAAAGGCTCAAGCGGCGATGCACCACGAAAGAAAAAACATCAACAGAAACGGGAGCCTATCAAAGTTCGGGCGACGGTCGATATTCATCCTGAGCGATACCAGCAGCTACTAGTGCCTGTGAATTTGGGGCCCGCTTCGGCTATTCAGGGTCCAGTCTGAAATTTTCTGAGGCTCCCCTATTCCTAAGCTGTCTTCCAACAGCTCAACGTGTCACATCAGCGAGAAAAACGGCCGACAGGGAGACGATGGATCAGGGTCTAGCGTTTCGGGTTGTTGGGGTTTTTTTGCGCCTGGCCTAGCCAGGACAAAACGTGCCTTGCAAGGTTTTAAAGAAAGGTATGTGACTACTCTTTAGGAAGTAGACCCGTAGGCGCTGTTGAATTTGTTGGGATTTAGGCCCCAAACAATACTCCTAAATGCTGGTATTTTTTGGTTTGTCTTTTTTCGTTTTGGTTTTACTATTCTCTAGGATTTAGGGTTTTTGTGGATTAGGGTTCGGGGATCAAGGTTTAGGGTCTCCCGATCGGCTCTGAGCTACATGCGATATCCCGGACGGCGCTCCACACTGTCGACGGGCAGTCGATGCAGCCGTTTTCAAGCTGTGCGTCTGGGCGCTTCCTGCTGATTTCCGCCCATTTAGAATCTCAGATGATGAAGACTTCCACGAGATCAGACTATCCCGGTGTTGGCAACATCCCATGAAAGGAAGCGGCAATAAATCAACGCCCGAAATAGGCGTCGGCTCTGGGAGGTACCACGACAGGTGGATGTCAGGCACTCCGCGTCGGGAATGCCACTGTGCATGTGACTGCACGGGTGACCATGCAGGCTACGTTCCAAACCATAAGAGCTATGAGAGCCACTCTGGCATATGCAGTGCAATGACAGTAAGGACCACCCGTCTCCACACAAACCGAAAGGTTCCAGTTCTCTGAATGGAAAGAGTGGGCCTTCGCTGTCTGGCTTCACCTTTGCGTCGGGCCTTGACCCCAACGCCCAAGCTTAAGCTGTAGTGCTTTGGTCTCGGACCAAAGCCGGTTGCGCACACTTATCTGTGTAAGACCCGCGCGGACAATTGCACTACCGACGGACAGGCTGCATTCAGTCTCCCAGTGGCTGCAGTCGCAGTCTCTGCATGCACCACACGAGAACAACAAAACAAACAATGCACACCGACTACATCTATTGATTTGGAGGAGTGCTTTGTGGAAATCCGACAAGGGATGCGCCACTGAGAGACTGAAACTGCTGATGGGAAGAAACCGGGGTGAGCGTTCAGAAGTCTGAAAACGTATCTGTCGATTCTGCTTGGCCACGGAACGTGCGAAAGCTCTCCCGGCGGCCGCCATGTACAATGCCCAAGCCCGCAAACCGTTTCACGAGTAGGGGCCTCCCAAGAACTTGGCATGTGCAGACAAAGGCGGTATCATGACGGTGCGGCATCATGCATCGCCGCGGCTCTGCCTGGGCTTGCGAGGGCGTCCGGCAGGACGGGCGCGGCGATTCTGGGCGACGGGCTTCTTCCATGTGCAGAGGTGGCAGTGATCACAGTCGGCGCCGTCCTTGCAGCCCTTGCCCTTCGTCGCATACTTGCAAGCAGCGTTGCATGAGAAGGGATGCCCTCGGGAGCCAAAGGAAGCGCACAAGGGATACAGCAAGGTCTTCTGATCCGAATCGGCAGGCAACTCTGCCTCCTCTGCGTCCTCGCTTTGATCGGCCCAGCTCTCACCGAAAGCCTGTGCGACGTGCTTCATGTAGGTGTCCATGTGGAAGTCGGGGACAACCTGGGGCGGCGGGGACTGGGTCTGCAGACGCATTGCTGCGTGCGCCTCCATCGGCCTCCCCCGCAAAGCCTCTTCCTCATCCGTCTCCTCGCTTTGGTCGGCCCAACTGGCACGGAAAGCTTGTGCGACGTGCTTCATGTAGCTGTCCATGCTGAAGTCTGGGACGGCCTGGGGCGGTGGGGATGGGGTCTGGAGACGGACTGCTGTGTGCGCATCCGTTGGCCTCCCACGCCCATGCACCAAAGCCTCCTCCGTCTCCTCGAGATACTCCGCATAGGGGGCGCACTTCGGCAGTCCAGTTCGGTCCGGCGAGGGGTCTGGTGTGCGCCAGCCACGGCGCAATGATGGTAGCCCGCGCTCGGGCTCAGCGAAGACAAGCTTCAGGTTCGAGACGTTTCCACGGCTTTCGTATCGGTGTCCGCGAGGGGTCTCGGAACCATCCTGACTCTGCGAGCTCTGCGAGTCCGAGTCATGGAAAACACTGATCTGCATAGCCATCACTTGGCGAAGCTGTTGGGAGGCCGAAGCTACAATCGTACTGTGCCTTGAAGCCGAGATGTTGTGCCAAAAATGGTTGCAGGTCAGCGTTCTTCCTTCGACCACACACGCTCGTACTGCTCTTGTCCTCCCGACACGTCTTGGGACAAGGGCTTGAAGGTTGCGGATTCCATCAAACATTTTGAGCGAAGTGCTGCAGGCACAAGTGTTCTAAGTGCTGGCACAGCTCTGCTTCTGGTGCTCCCCTTGTCGGCTTACAGTGGATACGGTGCGACTCTTCACTCGAATTGCAGCTTTGCTGGCACAATGAGCGCATCGAAAACCAGCATGACCAACACAGAGACTGTGACTATGGTGCACAGTAATGCTGGTGCATTCAATGGGTCATTGGCATTGTTACCTACAGGGCCTACACTGCTCATGCCAACGTTGCCGTAATTGTCGTCGTGGCAAAGTTCTTGCCAGCTAGTGGCATTGCTACTCTTGTCCTGTTTACCTCTAAAGCACCACGACTCCGTTAGGCGGGTTCGGGCTCGCATCTTCATTTCGGGCTTGAAGGTCTCGGATCTCCCAAGCACAGGGCCTTGGTACTCTCTCAGGAGCCCGGCAGAAGCAGCCACCTTCCTGCATTTAGGCCCGAAGCTGCGTGGGAGCAAAGCCCCCGGCTGCTAGACCGTCGAAGATGTCGATGGCCGTGTGGTACATGATTCCACCATGCGTGTCAGCAAAGGTGAGTTCGATGAGCATTCCTTGGTTTTGGTATTCAAGTGTCCACCAGTCCAAAGCAGCCGAAACCACATTGAAGCCCTAAGGGACAACGAGCGCAAGCACCAAGCCCGCATCCCCAAACCCTTCATGCGGTTGGTTCGAGACAAACTGTCGTTACGGAGGTCAAGTGGGCCGCCGAGTCTGCATTGATGCGGACAAGTCGAGTCAGGTGAGCTTCTCAAAAAGTACGCCTTTCCCGAAAGCCCTTAATCGTGAACCTTTTCACCATGAGCCAAGGATTACTATGACGACGAGATCGCGCTTAGTAGTGGTCTTGATAGTGTCTGTGTGATGCTAGAGAACTTCGCCGAAGACGCTTAGAAACCGTCAAAACGGATGAACTGTGTGGAACAATATAACTAGCACCCGGAGGCCACGAGGCTTACTATGCCCTGCCCGTGCCGTCCGGACCATTGAGATGTCATCTGCTTGAAGACTGAAAACAGCAGCAACCACACAGGCAGTGGAAGTCAAGACACGACAACAGATTGCATCTGCGCACTCGCACAAAGCAGGCAACAAGTCCAACACGAGGCTGACTACAGAGACATGCGAAAGGTTGGGAAAGCACACACAAGGGTTTGGGGGCAGTTTCTGGTTTATGATTCAACAACATGTCATGGGTGCAGTACGTCCCAGATGTCGCCCTGAAGCCTGACAGCCCAAAAGCCATCCCATTGGAGACCTCTAACGCCATGCACAAAATCTATTACACCAAAAAGGAACTTCAACCAGAAGATCTCCAAGAAAGCGCATGAGACGCAAACCCTAAACTTCAGGGCATGGCTCTGCAGAAGGCAGGACGGGTCAAGATAGAACCGATCTCGGTCTCGCCTGCAACGCATAAGCAGATAGTGCGGAGGCGTTGGTTCATAAAAGCTACATATTATACCGATACTAAGAGTTTAATAGTTAAAGGCCTACATGAAGGCAAGTTCATCCCGAATCCCGGCAACGTGGACACAAGGTTCTGGGTTGGGGAGAGTGGTGATTCGGTTTTCAGATCAAAGCCCATTGATTGAACTTCCGGCATCGGACCCGGGCCGACACACGCGCTTGCCACGCACGCCTGTTGTTCGCTGCGGTGCAGTCTGATCAGAATGGCCTGACCCAAACGCTGTTTTGATTGGCACCTTGGAGGCGTCAGAGCCTTGTTCTGAATGCGGCGGAAGAATGGCGACTTGCACTTTCAAGCGACTGCCAGTGCTCCTCTGAGGGCACAAGCAGAGGAGGAAGTGCAGAATAGGGTTAAGAAGGTCGGTCAAGCTTGCTTCGTGTTTTGCGTATTCGGATCGGTGCTCGTCTGAAGTCGCCAGCTACGGTTCAACTGCAAGAATCTGCACATCTTTCGCTCTGGTGCCGTGAGAATGCTCCAACCTGGCCGGAACATGGACTCTCGTGGACTCTCGTGGTGCGCTCGTGGTGCGGAAGTCGCATGGAAATCGCCCCCGAGAGATCCTAGCGGGTGGCTTCGAAATACGCAAAGAGTAGGATTGGAGTCGCCCTTCCCGAGGACACAAGGCTGGAAGCGAGTGTGTCGTGGATTTGTCTTCGAATGGCTCGGGTGGTCCGTGCCGCTGCTGTTGCTGCCGCTACTCCTCCTCGAAACTATGACGACGAGCAGCAGTAGTTGCAGTACAAGGTGACTTGGGCCCAAGACAAGAAAGGTCAGAAGCTGGAAAACCGAGATGCCAAAGCATGCATAGTAATAGACAATCTCGCACCCATTGAATCACAACTTAACCGCTTTCGGGAAAAGAGTCTACTTGGAAGCCGACACCGAAACCCAAAGCCGGCAACCCGCGCCCACGCCTGCTTGCACGAAAGGCCGCATGAGCGAAGAGTAATGGTTGCACAAATGAAGCATTTCCAACCTGTTTCGGAAGGGTGGCGTTTGATGGTGGGCACATGGCTATCGGGAACAATCCGCAACAAAGAACCCCAGTTCAGTTTCCGGGCTTCAAAGTTTCTTTTTGCATCAGGACTTGTGCAATCGCCTGAATATCCGAGCCCGCAGAAGTTCAGCTCTCACGACTGCGCTTCCACACCGTGCTCAGGAGAACTCGCAAACACAGAATGTCTGAGCATACGAAGGTTCAGCTCTCATGGCTGCACTTCCATACATGGCTCAAGAAACTCGCGACTGGCTATGACTGCGGCTTCGATGGCTCAAGGACAACATCTAAACTCAGCCAGGGTTCGTTGAAAGCTTTTCGACAACAAAGTAAGGCTCGCTTAGCCATGCATTGGCTAGGGCCCTGAACACGTACCTTGCTACATGCAGCCAAAGACAGTCCAGGCTTCACCGTGCCTGTAAGGACCTGGACAGGTGTGAACCCGATCTTTCTCTTCTTGACAGCAGGTTCAGCATGCTGCAAACGGTTTAGCGGGTGTCGGCTTGCACACTCGCACTAGGTAGGCACGGCTTCGAACGGTCTTGCTACACTAACATGCCAGGCAGAATCGAAGTGCACATGCGATAGCTTGCTGCATCATGCAACAATCACCGACCAGTAAGAGTCATGTAGAAACCTACGAGCAATGACCACCCAACAGGCATCAATAGAATCGCAGAGCACTTCATATCTCGTCATGCTGTCAGCTTCGAGAACTTCACGCGGCAGCCATCTTTGTAGCTCCTGTTGATTGGATTTCCCGGATTCACAACTTCAGTCATGTCCATCACCTGAAACCTGTACTCGCGGCACAGGATCCGGGCGAAGAGCTGCAGTTCGACTAGCGCCAGGTGCTTCCCGATGCACTCGTGGGGTTGATTTCCGCCAAAAACTGTAAACTTGTCCTTGGCTTCGGTTAGCCACCGCTCCGGATCAAACGTCTGCCCCATGTCCTTGAGGTCTGCTCTGAGGTCGATCGCCATAGGGCACCCTCTGGGCACCACACCGTGCTCCCCCAGGTCCACGTCCTCTGTCCTGTTCACCCGTCGGAACGCGCCAGCTGGTGGCTTCAACCGCATGGCCTCGCGCACGAAGCGCAGAGTGGCCGAGTTCTCCTCGGGGTTTGTCATCTCGAGGTTTTCGGCAGCGATGCGGGATATCCAGCTCGGGTGCTTGTAAAGCTGCACCAACAAGAATGGAAAAGCTTCTGAGGTCGTCATCTTACCCGCCACCAGGAGACTGAACAATGTGTCCGAAATCTCCTCGTTGCTGAAGCCATGGCCATCCTCCGAATCCTTCGCCAGGTCAGCGACGATGTTCTGCCGGTGCTTCTTCGGGCTAGCCATGGCCTTGGAGATGATTTCGTCGATCTCGCGCCGCGCCATCAGAGCGCGGCCATGGGCCGAGAAGCGGCCGAGGTTGATCGGAAGCGCATAGAGCCCTAGAAGGGCGGTGTCGAGAAGCGTCTGAAAGCGCTGCTGATCTGCATCCTCGAGCCCCGCTGCGATCGGTAGCACCGAGACACGCGCCGCCAGATTTGTTGCCGCTGGCTGAAGTTTCGCGTACCCTTGTCGCTCTGTCTCCTTCACGAGACCATCCAGCATTTGGCGAATCATTGCCATGATCTCGGGAATAATGCTGAGAACATATTGCGGCCCGAGGCTAGAGAGCAGCTTGCCTCGCAAGCGCTTGTGCTTGTGGTGGCCTTTGCCACCAGGGAGAACAATGATACTGTTCTCGCCGATCAACCTTGAAAGGCCACGCGGGTAAAAGGGACACAGCTTGCCGTCGAGCTCCGCACGATGAACATGCTTCATGTATAGCTCGTGCCGCAAGAGGACGGTGTGAGAGTAAAAGTAATGGGACAGGTAAGCTTGCCTATCCTTCAGCGCTCGGTTTACCCATCCTTCCAGAGACTCCTGTTTGATCTGGGAGGTGTGCCCCACTAACGGAAGACCCAGGTCGTGGGTCGGGAGCCGCCTCCGGAGAAGAATCCCGTAGTGGGACCAAATCACCTGCGCCACCACCCCGCAGGACGCCAAGCCGCAAACGCGAGGCCAAGTCAGCTTCGAGAGGAGCTCAAGGCTCAGATCCCTGGCCCACGCAGCGTCGAAGGACAGCAGCGCCGCCATGTTGACAGAGCAAGGCCCCGATGGTTTTTTCCCACCAAGGCCCCGATGGTTTAGGATTTAGGGTTGAAGGCTTTCGGTTTAGGGCTCAGAGTAAAGGGTAGTCATCCCGAAGGTGAGGCATGAACTACGCATGCCGGAGAGCCAAAGTAAAACAGCGAGCGCTTCACGGCTGCTGGGCTTCTGTCGGAGCTTAGGACCTATCTTCCTCGCCGTCGCAGCTACAACTTTTGGCGACTTTGCGACTTTACTGATGCTCCGCTTCATACACTGACGGGTATGATCAGCTCTCATCTTCTCATCTTCTGAACGAGGAGTGTTGCGGGTTTGGGGTATTTTGATAGTATTTTGATGCAGCTGCCAAGGAGCTGATGAACGCTGTCAATCTCGACAAAAAGAATCGGCCTGAGTTTGGCATCAGGGTCACGGGATGGAGCGAAGACGTGCGTCTAGGGTTCTGGTTGAAGTTGAAGTGTTTTGTAGGGCTTTGTGCGTCTAGAAACAGCTGGGTTTATTTGCCTCACGCATGTCCAGGCCGAACCCGCTGGGTAGGGAAAGAATTTTGCCGCCTTTCATTTGATTGCAGTCGCGATCCGTCGCACAGAACAACAATTAGAGCACAATGCCAAGCTGCAATAGACATCCTAAACCCTTTTCCCAAGACCCACATGGGGGTTTCCGAAAATAGGGGACTCTAATATAGTACCCTAAATAGTAGGATCCTTATTATAAGGACCCCTAATTAAGGTACCCCTTATTTTCGGAAACTCCCATGTTTTGTAAGTATAGCGGCTCCTCAATCCTATTATAAGGACCCTGGAAAAAAGGTACCCCCAATTCCGGGAAACCCCCACATTGAAAGAGGGAAGCCGAACGATGCCGGCGAGCGGCTCCCCCTTCGCGCCCTTGTTCTTTCTGATCTGCCTGGTAGTGACGGTCAAATCGACCTGAGGGGTCTCGGCGGATTTCGAATTCTCGAGTTTTCGGTTTTTTGGGTACGATGCAGGGTGTTGTCTGCATCAAGTCTCGACTCTCGACTATAGCCCATACTGTCGTCCAGAGTGGCTTTGTTGCTTTCGGTGCTGCGGCCACTGATGCTCTGCTGCCGCACTATTTGCTACTCACCTTATACTGCTCGTTGGCTGCCCCTAATGGTTTGATTGCACCTGGTGGCTGGCTTCTGCAGTTGACATTGTGATTTTACTGCTCATTTACCGGACAGCCACCGTGCATCTAACCGTCGCCAGCGCAACTAGTGCTACTCCGACATTCATCACCATCCCGGCACTCGCCGTACTACTATACCAATTATAATACCATGGCGACTGTTGTCTTAAGTCATATGCCAGTACTTGCCATTGCTACCAAAAAATTTAGCCGGCTCGGCTGTCCTACTTTCGTCAGCTGCGGCTCGTCTCGGCCGAGGCTCTCGGACCGAAAGGCACCACACGAGACGTGAGACTCTCTGCCCGACTCGCTGTTGACACCATTGCACAAAGTTTGTAACAGTTTGTTCTCGTTGCTGTGGCTAGTATTGCTTCTGCAGTGCTTCGCTGTTTTACATGATGCTTGATGCTCTTCTTGTTCCCTTTTCCGACTGTTGCCCGGAATAACCCTCAAACCTCGGACTCGCCCCCTTAAGCCCCCGACGTTCAACCGCTGGCAGTAAACCGGCAGGTGCTCGTGCGGGCGCGGGATCGGCGTGAAGATCCGGACCAGCTGCCTCTTCGTTTTCCTACCTTCCTGCTTGGTACCTTCGGGTTTAGGGTTTCGAGCTAAAGGGCCCTCCTGGATTCACCACCTACCATTACCAGCTCAGTTTCCTAAGTTATGTCGCGTGCATCCATCTTGCAAGGCAGAATTGGCAAAACCTAAGACATTTCGTATCCTAAGTTAGGCCAAACTCCGAGATCCATAAACCGCCGGGGTCTGCACGCGGCCTCTCGACATCCAACCGTCGTCTCGCATTGAGATCCTGCAGCGACTCCTGTCAGGAGCTGGAAGAAGTGCTGTGATCCCTCCTCGCGCAACCCTCAACCCGAATAATGTCCGGAAGCTCAGGCCTCTGTGCGCTGGCAGCTGCGGATTGACCAAACCAAACACATCACAACAGGCAGTCCTTCTGCTCTTTTCGCTTCTCTTCGGCCCTCTGTCGATCCAAAGCGAGTGCCCGAGCGGCATTTGCCTGGCGACGAGGGTAGTCAGTGCAAAAACAGTACATCATGTAGGTTTGATCAACGCCACCCACAACATTATCATCGACGGCAACGACGACGACGACGACGACGACGACCACGACGACCACCACCACCACAACCGCGACAAGAAGAACAAGAAGAAGAAGAAGCAGAACAATAACAATAACAAGAACAACAACAAGAACAACGACGGCGACGGAACTAATGTCATCATCTTTCGCGGCCTTGGGAGCCCTCACGTAAGCACGCGAACTAGCATCCCATGAAAGTACACCACAAACAAGCAGCTTGTAGAAAATCGCGGAAAGCAAACAAAACCTGGACAGCCCTGGCACGCTGCTAGACAGATCAGGGTTCGTGGTTCTTGTGCTTACAAGTTGTGAGCATAGGGATCACCCTTGCAAAGAATGCGAGTTCTACGAGTAATCCCACAACCAGCCACCTTCTTGAAAAGCACATCCGACTCGTTGGCTTTGAGCTTTCGTCGGTTCGAGATGGCTTCCTGCGCAAAAGCTTTGTGAGGTCAGGGGCTTCTGCCACCCGAGAACCCTAAACCCTCAGCCCCATAACCCTGAATCCTATGAGCCCCTTGTAGAGAATCACTACTTGCACGCAGGCATTTGGGTAGTTCTGTAAATTAGGGTTCCTTTTTAGGTCCCTAATATAGTACGGCACCCTTATAAAAAAGACACTAACGGGGACCCTAAATTAGAGAACTACCCAGTTTGGAGCATCACACTCAGACTGAGACTCGTCTAGCTTCATCGAAGGGCTTCTAAGCCTCGGGTTTAGGGTTTAGGGTTTAGGGTTTAGGGTTTAGGGTTTAGGGTTTAGGGTTTAGGGAGGATCCCTGCCTGTTATATTATGAAAACCCCCAGGCCAGAATGCGGCACGAGCCAGCAAGAGCCGGGTTTAGGGTTTAGGGTAAAGTTGCTCAAGCCTGCTACGTAGTGTTGCTTCCACCGTCGTCGAAAAGAAGGTGGTGCAGTCGCATTGGTGTTGCCCCAACCGATTATGGTTTTCTTTTCAGCATACTACGGCATGAGATACTGCAACCGGCAACAATTGCACACAAGAAGATAGCTGCGCTTACTTGGTTTACTGTGTCCCAATACGGCGCAACAAGGCAGAACTTTGAAAGCGTAGCGGCAAGCTGCAAAGATTAACATAGCCATGCTCCGAAAATCAAAACCACATATTATCAAACTACTACGATGTGCTTCAACAGCCCTTACCAATGAAACAAAATGAAAATACTCAAATTGAGGCTCTTAATGTTGGTGATAACAAAACTAAAACATGTTGCAATATGAGACACCACTTACGGAGCCGCAAGATGTACTCACCTTAAAATAAAGATACGGCAAGCCACCTGCTGACTACCACTGGGCAACTCGGGATGGAGAAGTGCATGAGTGTTTGCGCGAGCCTGGAGCCTTTTCTAAAGCTCCTAATACAAGCAGCAAGCGGCCCGGATATATTTTGAAGATGCAGGATGCTTGCCTCCTACACCTCTTAGCCTCGTTCAGCGAACTTCGCTCAGCTCGGCCTGCATCAACTGATCACGGCCCATCCCAGACGGATCGAAGGGGCGCCCTGGCCGCAAGAGAAATACACAGAAACACGTCCCAAAAAGGCGGCGCCGGGGAGAAAAGTACTCTTTGCGGCCACCTTTCTCGCATACTTGGAACTTCTAACCACAACAACACCAAAGTATTCCTACACCCTAAAGCTTGACCTCTGTGAAACCTATGGAGCCCTGCTGGAAACCCTATGCAACCCTTCAACGAAAAAACTAGCGAGCCTGAGAAAGGGCGGTTCTTCAACCCCTAAACCTAGACCCTTAAGCCTTGACCCTAAACCCTAAACCCTGAACCCTGAACCCTAAACCTTCGGCACCTCCGAAGATGGACTTCTGCAACCAGGGCGGCTTTTTGCTTCCAGCCCGGCTTGGCCTCTGCCTTCAAGGCGGAGGGTTTTCGTTTTGGGGTTTGGGTTGGGGCGCTTCTTTGGTTTGTTTTTGGGAGCCGCTTGTCGTCACTACAGCGGGCCGTCGCTTAGAACGCCAAGATGGCAGTGAGCCAATGCTTTTTTTCCCTCTCGCATGAATGAGGATTGTACTCGTTGGCTTTAGGGTCTAGGGTTTTAGGGGCTCTTTGGATTTCTTGTGGGTGGGGTTAGTTGTTTCAGTCTGTTCGAAGGAGGAGAGGGGAGGCTTGCAGAGGTCTTCGGCGGTACGTAAAACACGGGGGGGATTCTGGCCCGGGGCAGGGTGAAGCAAAACGCTGTGTGTGTGTGTGCTTGAGGGTATGAGCTTGGGGCTTCGGCGGGTTTGAGGTTGTCAGAAACGGACTTGCCACATGACATAAAAGACTGCGATCTGTAGGCCGTAAGGGTCTTTGGGTTTGGATTTCGCAGCATCGGGAGTACAGTCAAATTCTAGGTTTCTGGGTTGCAGGGATAGAGGAAGTGCAAGAATGGCAAGAGCAACGGGGCACTGGCGGCGCAATCTAATCGCAAGACTGAAGCCGGAATAATGTGACCACTACAAGACTGATGAACCACGCTCTGGCCATGCTCGAACAGTGCGAGGTGCTTTGAAGAACACTTGTGCTTATGTTCATGGTCATGATCAGTAGGACATTGAACACCGAAACAGCTACGGATATGAGGAGTAAGGTTGCAGAGCAAATACCGATGAGTGCCGATGCTGCTAACAACTCACCTACACCCAGTTCACTCCCAGTCAAAGCTGTGCAGGCAGGGCGCGACTTCTGCCACATGCTCCTCGGCTGCTGGACAGGCGAAGGCAAAAACGTCATGTCGTTATATGCTTGGTTGCACAACTAGAGCTCGGACATGCTGCTTTGTAGCATTGCATGTGTCGTCATAGCTGGTGCTGCGCAATGTCTCGACTTCAGACAAGGTGGGTTCAAAGCCGCAGGAACTCGGCGCTCCAAGTTTCAACTTGAGACTCTCACTGCCACTCCCCCGAAGCCATGAGTTATAGCCCGAAGGCCACGGACCTCGTAGCCCCGAAGCCACAAAAGCCTTCGGGCCCCTAAGAAGGTCCCTTCCGAAGCCAAGGCGCCGAACAGACTCCGAGCCAAGGCTGCCTTTGGTGCTGCCGAGGTCAGACAGTGGCGTGAGGGCACGGCCTGCCGAGGGCTCGAGTTCCTCAAAAGGGTTCCTTCAAAAGAAAAGGGCCTTAATATATGGACCCTTTAAAAGGGTTCCTTAAAATAAAAAAGGACCTTAAGTATGGACCCTTTTTTTATTCCACACCCACCTAGCTCACTGAGTCGTACAGCCGAAGATTTGCTTTGAGGTTCAGGGCTTAGGGATGCAAATGCGTCAAAATCCCTGAAACTTAGCCTGCGCCTATGAACGGCGTTTTGGCACGGCAGCAGGCTGTGAAGAAGCCCACCTGTTTCAACAAATGCGTTGGCAAGGCCTGCCAAATCCTTAGATCGCGCAGGAGACAACTGACAACAGGGGCCTAAACATAGCAGTGACAACAAGAAGACTAAGAAGCAGAATAGTCATGATACGGTACTTGCCACCATCCCGAAAAATGACTCCAATAACCATGCGAGTAAAAGCAGTAGCAGCTGCACCATCTGCATCCCGGATGACGTGAGCAACGCTTCAGAAAGCAATGAAGTCGCGGCAGGCCCTGCTCTTTTTCATATGCTGCATGCTTGCGCCTTCGCTTCACGGACCTAAAAGGCCTCTTTCATCATATAGGAATCAGACAAACTGTCCATCATAATGAACAATCACTATAAACTAAAGTAAAGAAGGCATGGATAGTAAGAGACCTCTTGCACCTCTACAGTTTGTGCCCATGTCCTCACTTGGTTCACTTGGTCCTCGGCTGCGCACTGATGTACAAAACGTTGTTTCCGCGGATGAAGGTGTCACCGTACTTGTGCTTGAGCTGACCGTCCACATACTCCTCTGTCTGCTCCATGGCGAGGTTCATGTAGCCTGATCTTCGAGGACAAACCCCGTTTGCATCGAGGCCTAGAGGACAAACCCCTGAACCCCCAAACGTTGAACTCTGCTGATCCGTTGAACCCTAAGCCCCAAACTCTAAGCCACCTCATGCTCAAAAAGTCCCCGAAGCACCTGACCTTTCCTTTCGCGGAGGAGACGAGAGGATTCCTGTGGTTGCTTTCTTTTGTGCTGTTGCTTGAAGGTGCTTGGACCTTTCAGTTACCGAAAAAGCTGGGAACTCCTGTATCTCTCTCCATGTTGAGGTAACGAGAAACAACAGATCCCTGAACCTGGTCAGGAAGACCTGTGATAACGGCCGCTCGCGCCCTAGCCCATCACGGCTTTCAAGCTGGTGCATGCCAGTTCGCGCCCCTGTCTTCCCCAAGTCTGAACTGAAGCCCAAGTCCTCAAACCTTAACCTCCATCACACCTGATCAACCCCATCAAAAGCCAAATGCAAAAACAACCTAAAAAGGTCTGAGTGGCCGTCAAGGCAGGCCAGGATCCCACGGTAGTCTGCACCATTGTTCAGCTTCACGATGACGGGGCGGCCCAAGACCTGCGTGGTTCAGCTTAGGACCCTCCTCCTGACTCCACAATGCTTCACGGTTTAGGGTTTAGGGTTTAGGGTTTAGGGTTTAGGGTTCAATGCTTCACGGTTTAGGGCCTAGAAACTACCGCTACCACGAGCACCACCGCGACCACGACGCGACAACTACTGCTGCTATGCTGGTGCTACTGTATACGCACTCTGCCACTGCGACTGCTTCTACTACTACTGCTGCGACGACTACTACTACCACCACTACCACTATCAATGCAATCAAAATTGTGTGGTTTTCGTGAAACGTGTTGGGGATCCTGGGTTTGGACACTGGTTTCAGAGCCTGCTTGATGAAATCTCCCGGGGACTTCTTGGACATGGCTTGGAGGTAGATTCTTTGAAGCCCGGCTACTCTTTTTCTCCCACCCGCGACTCTTGAGCCCAAACTGCAACGCATACGCAGCTGCCTAGGAGTGCAGATCTCAAGCACGGACTGCCACAATTCAAACAAGGTCGGCAAAGCCCTCCATGCCCACTCAGAACCATGGGTGCAAAGCGAAGCATGACTGAAGCCATTCAGGCGACAGAGGTGCGAACTACTATCGCTTGCAGCCTGGCCTGGATATCAGCATTCTCCGAACTGTGAGCAACTCTTCTCACGCGCTAGAGCTTTAAATTCCGACTTTCCAGACAAGCTTCTGCTCGTGGGGAGGTCTTGCCCTGGACGTGCGCCTCGTTCCATAGTGCGCAAAAGAAACGGTGGTTTGGGATCTATGAGTTTGGCTCACCGTTTGGAGGCTAGTTAGGAGCCTCACGGCCTTGATTTGGGGCTTTGCTTTCGAGATATCGGAAGCGAGGATTTCTAGTTCGCGTTTGGAGGTTCCTGGTGCCGCACGAGAACGAGTTGCACTACATACAAAAAAATCGCGCTGCCGAAAGAAACCCTGAAAGCCTCAAAGACTTCGAGGACCCTTGAGTCTTGAAGGCTCTGGCTGTGGCACAGAACGCGCAAGCGGGAGGGGGTGTCCGCAAATAGATAGGGGCTGCGAAGATCCTAGGACTTGCGGGTTAGGACAGCTTTGAGTTTGGGGTGAATTGGGAAGGCCTTGCGTGACTGAATCCCTCAAGCCCACTGGGGCCAACTTCGCGACATCTAAGTACGGCAGCGTAAGAAACACAAACGTTTCAAGTCGTCCAGCAGAAGGAAGCGCACGAACGACTGTCAAGCAGCCATTCAAAAATCAACCTGTTTTCCGCCGAATGCGAAGCGTTGAGCTCAGCCAGAAAAAATCGGCACAAGCCATGGTCGGGTAACCCTCCACAAGACGCCCACAATGACCTCGAAACCTTCGGCAGGAAGCGCGCCTTCGGCGTGTCCACTGTGGCAAAACCTTGGGGTCTTGGTATTGACCTTTCTGGAACCCCAAACCTGAGCCCTGCGCCCATTCTCCCAACCAGGCATGACTGACTGAGCAAAGAATATGAGATCTACCTGTCACGGCGCCTATGCAATCTCTGAGGAAGAAGCTTTGACCACGGTAGCTCTCAATCAAGCTTCCGATGCCAATGCTCCTGCACTGCGATCTTGCTTCAGATAGAAAGAGAGAGAGAGAGAGA